ACAGACGCATCGGTAGTAGCCATCTCAGGAACATTGCATCAGGAGCAAGAATGGAATGGAAGAACGGTTCTCCGTCCCATTGCGTACGGCAGCAAGGTCTTGAGTGACACTGAGATGAAATATGGTGCACCAAAAGCAGAAATGTTTGCAGTAGTCACATTTGTGGAAAAATACCGCGCATACTTGGGGAGTGCTCCCTTTAAGTTACGCGTAGACAACAGAGCGTTATCCTGGTTGAAGACCTACTCGATGTATCAGAGTTATATTGGTAGATGGATAGTAAGATTGGATGGCTACCATATGATAATCGAACACAGGATGCGTGATAATGAAAGATTGCAGCAGAAGCAAGCCAATCAGGCAGAAATAAAGGAGAGATTCTTGTTTCTGGACAACGAAACTTATGAAGCGCTTCCCTTAACGAGATGGTTGGACAAGTCTGGACATCCAATTCCAGGACACCCTGAGTTACCTGTAGAGAAAGCAGCCGAGATAAAGATCCTATCCAAGGTGGACCCGGTTCCCTTGGATCTGTTGCTGCGCTCAAACCTGGTCCATCAAGAACTCTCTCGCATGGACATAAACAGCCTCTCTTTATTGGTAAAACGGTGCAGGTCACACCGCAAGTGATGCGGATGCTGGGTGGATTGTTAGAAAGAGTAGTGACCAGAGATGACCCCGAGTGGACAGCAGCAGTGGCATCGCTAACAGTTAGGGAGAAGGTGAAGATCATGCCGTCCAGACGACAATACGAAGAGAACGAGAGGGATTGTAGGACAATAGTTCAGCAACTAGTATCCTCGATACCACATGAGGTTTTAATCAGTACTTCGTACGGACGGAAAGAACAGGGGACCAATACGCGAAGGAAAACTGTTACCTTTGTGGACCAGGATAAAGAAGGGGTAAAGGTAGAACGAAACCTGGTGCAAGATTGTTTGTCCGGGGAGACGAACAACGAGAAGAGCCAGCGAGCACAAGAACAACACTCGGGACAAGGGAGTTTGTCCGGGTAGTCTGAGATAGATGAAGAGGTTCCTGATGAAAAACAGGACCTGGGGAACAAAGTTTTTTCCGGGGAGTTCAGATGGATGCGAAGAAGGCACGGACATGATCTGAAGGAGGGTGCAGAATCCATCACGTACTCTTCAGCAGATGACAACTCCAGAAACTCAGGAATTGACACCTACTCAGACAGGAACTCGAGCTCGGGATCAGAACTGTCCGAACTAGCGATCCACACACTACTAAAGGAAACTCGTGCAAAGGATCTGGATAGAGAGATCTACCAGGACCCTGATAGTGATCGCTACCTCATACCAGGTGAGAAAGTCTTTGACAACGCAGCGGATGATTTGGACACAATAGCGTTATCGAAACGTTCGATCAGTCTGTTGCCACAAAAAGAGGTAGTCAGGACTGATCTTCAGCCGTTGAAGCAAGAAACACAGCCGTTGGCGAAGATTTGGTGCGTTAAGATGGAAGAAGACACACACCAGCCCAATGAGCTGAATAGTCAGATGAGGGTCATGAAGACGTACTTGAAGGCGAGATACATACTCTCGGATCTTCTAAGGGCGCAGAGAAAAGATCGCATGACAAGCAACCTGAAAAAATGGGTCGAAAATGGTTCTCCGGATAAAGGAGACCTCGAGGAAGACAGTTACCGTATCCTGAGACAGTACTTCATGCAGAAAGAGGGAAGATTATACTTGAACAAGGACCTGATTGTGGCTTGCAAGAGAAGAGATGAAGACAAAGTCCTATACAAGTATAACGCGATAGTGTTGCGCAACTCTATCAGACAGAACTATTATTCAGGTCGCATGATCAGATGGGCCATCAGGGGATCGACAAAGTATATCAGAGGATCCTGAGCGCTTTGAGTGGCCAGGAATGAAAAAGGCATGCGAGAAGTGGGTAACAGCATGTCTGTCATGCCAGCAGGTCAAGGGTCCAAGGAAATTGCGATTTCCTTTACAATCGATCGATTCGTCTGAATTCAACGAGGAAGTGCAGATAGATCACCGAAAGATTTGCGTGACAGACAGTGGTTATAATCAGGTATTGGTCATGATAGATCATTTCACGAAGTATGCAGAGGCCGTGCCCTGCAAAACTGCCTCGGCGGAAGAGACATGCGACCACCTGATCAATACGTGAATAGCGAGACATGGTTGTCAGATGACGTTTCAATCGGATAATGGAACAGCGTTCGTGGGAGAGCTTACAAAAGAGCTTATGAGATGCTCACAGGTTGCTCAGGCTCACTCCACGACATATCATCCACAGACGAATGGCTTAGTGGAAAGACAGAATAGGACGTTAGTGTCGATGCTGAGAGTATATTGTTCCTGGTACATGACCGATTGGGACAGATACCTTCCACAGGTGATGGGAGCCTATAACAGCCCGCAACACTCCACCACTGGAGTTAGTCCACACATGATGCTAACTGGACACGAGAAGTCTTTACCCTTAACTTTTTTCTACCCAGAGTATGAGGGAAAGAAAACGTCTCCACAGGTCTACGTGAGGGTTGTGATCAGACGTCAACAGGAATTGAACGATTTATGTAGACGAATTACTCAGCAAGCACAGGCAAAGCAGAGGAAAAAATTCGACAAGAAAGCAGCTGGTGCGAAAGCTTTCTCGGTGGGAGACTACGTATGGGTATTTCAGAACGTTATACCACCGAAAGGAAGGAATTAGCTCCTAAAAAAGGGGAGGGGACCCTTCATGATTACGGAGGTGCACCAGGAGGGACGCTTTTATAGACTGAGTACTGGCCGAGCCGCCCACTATGAGAACATTAAGCCACGCAATCTATCGACAGAAGACTGGTGTATACCCACAGACATAGAAGAAGGGGATTATCTAATGATGGATCCTGCTTGTGAGGTCAACGAGAAGGGCACGAGGGAGAAGAACGATGGAAACGAAGTCGTGGAGGAAGGAACGAATACACCGCTGGACCTGGATCCAAACGAGGTGATCGAAGCGGACGATGAAACTTTACCCTACGCAGAAGAGGACTGGCAAGACCCTGAACAAGGGGAGGTTCCTAAGAACTTGGAACCGGATCTTCCGTTCACGATAAGGACTCGTCAGAATAACGGGATAAGACCCAGAAAGAAATATAACCCTTACGGTGACGACTTTGTAGTGGATAGGATAGATCTGAAAAAGATAGTGGAAGAAGTAGTGGGTCTAGAAGAAATAACTGTGTCACAAGACATTGACATAGTCGATGATCACGACGATGAGTTGGTCAACGACCGGTCGAAACCCGAGGTAGAATTCGACGACGAGCAACAGCAGTCATAAGAACAAGACTTGACGAACCTGCGTGTCTTAGAATGGCTGAACGAAATGACGTCGGACCCAGAGGAGACCAGTGTCATGATTCAAGAAGTAGATCGTGAAAGCATGAAATACATCAAAACCGAACGAGATGATCCTTTCTGGGCTTCAGGGAGGGCAACTACTCATTCCGGCTTCTAACCTCGACTTGATATCCGGTATGCAATCGACGGGGACGTCGATGGATTTTTTTTGTCCGAGGAGTGGGGATAGGACTTACCCACACCGAAAACTGATAATAAAAAAATTAAGAATAGCAAGAGAGACAGGAGACTTAGAAGCAGAAACAGGCCAGGAACCTAATAAACCTGACCTAGGGAGGGTAGTTGAGTCATATTTTATCTTACCAAATGAGTATTCAAGTAACATAATATTAACAGACAGTGATTTCATACTCACAAAAAGAACATGTGCGATAGCAATCACATCAGACATGAGTCTTAGGACAGCGTTAGCGGCAGATTTTAAGAGAGAATACAAAAATGGGGATTTCCTTTGGAAGCAAAGACCAGGAGTAGGGGGAGTAGCAGCCTTACCTCTGGCGGCGTCACAGATGCCGGGAAAACACCTATGCTTCTTGGTGACGAGGGCGACGGAGAAGCAGCACGTGGACCCAGAGAACCTAGTCTTGTCCTTGACTAGGTTGAGAGACTTCCTCGTGGAAATGGACGTGAAGGAACTCTCACTTCCAGTGTACGATCCGAACAGAGGACGACTGCATCCTCGGGAATTATACAAGTATATTTACATAAGAAATATTAAGTGTAGGCTGAGTGAGGTGCAAGAGGGTGATAGGCTAAAGACTAAGTTATGTGGTGTGTGAGATGTGTGTTATGTCATGTTATGTGTTTTGTTTTTAAGATCTTGGGTAAGACGGGGTTAGTGACCATGAACAACTGAATGATGATCTTAGGAATAGATCCAAAGTCTGGACTGTCCAATCTCAGGTCGAATTCCAAGATTTTAGAGACCGATTGATATTTTTTAATTTTAGGATCAAAATCTTTTTATCTGAATGTTTTTAAATGAATTTTAACGAGAAGTTAAGGTGAAACTGACAAGTGTGATATTCGTGACCTCTTTTCTAGATCCTGATTGATCGTTTAATTGCTCACTTGAGTCAAATCTTTGAATCAAAATGAATCGAACCTGAAGAACAGAAGGGAGAATTTCAACTTGGATGAATTGATGGACCTGGCAGAGGCATATGTAGGACCGATGATATCTATCGTCGGCTAATGGATCGAGACTTCGCTCTGGAGGACCCAGAGGTAGTCATGTTGCTGACCGCCCTGATAAACATCTTGGGGGCATGACAACCGTGGGGACCGCCCCACGGAAGTCCTTTTGATGGCAGCATACAGAGAGAGGTGTGTACTAGACCGCCCGAATATGCGAGCGATGAGGTGGACAAACGGGGCTCTCTCAGGGAGTGATTTGGCGACGAGCCTGGATTGGGAAGTTCGAGGGCCTACCAACCAGTTGAGATGCCTTTTCCCACCAAGCCTAGGCCTGGGTGCATCACGAAGGATGCATCACAAAATGAACAGCGAGGCTACCTCGTCTAGTTCACAACTGAGACCAGCTGTGCCAACAAAGAGGGCGAGAGAGAGGAAGAGGTTCAGACGAACTAAACCATGCAAGATCTTAACGGAACGATAGAAGAACTGGAGAAGGCAAGAAGGGAGCTGGACGAAATGACCAAAACCATGCTCAGTACAGAAGAAGGTAGAGACATGTGGAAGAGACTGTTTGAAGATTGCAACAAAAAACAGGGTCAACAAATAGAGCGCTTGAGGCGAAAGTACAAAGAGCGATTAGAGCGGCTGGCGTTGACGACAGCCGTGGAAAAAGTGATACCTACAAGGAATATTCCTCGCGGGCAGTCCCCGATGGAACTTTTGACGCCTCACGAGTTGAGTCAAACGACGGATACGCGACTCCCAGCTACAACTGGTCGAGTGACAATCCGGGACCCGAGTGACACCCTAGGTGACCCAGTCGTGGAGCAAACAGTGAGAAAGTTGATAGAAACAGCTGGACGATTGGTCGCTAATAGGAATGCGCCAGGATCCGGGGTGTCTGCACCCTATGGAACAACCGATGATGTGCGCAGAGTACAACTCTCCCAAGAGACGGTGACGAGTTAGTGATACATGAGAACGGGAGTTAGTGATACAACGTTACCAACAAAGAGCTCTAAGGTCCCACACAGGAAGATAAGAGAAATTCCGATGAAGAAAGTGTCCCGAGTGATTGACGTGCAGTAAAACAACCAGTTGAAGTGTAGCTTCACGGGAGTTCCGAACACGGATTCGCGAACCTGCTTCAATCTATCCACTTGGAGCCCAGCATTAAACCTGCAGCAACCACCACTTGGGACATCACATCTGGTAATGGATCACTACGGTGATGGCCTTTGGAGGTGCAACGATAGCCCAGCTATTTCGGAAGGTGGAGCTGATGAACCTACGGAGGATCCCTAACATAATGATCCTAATAGGGGTGAACAATGTATCAAGAGGGTCAGATGAGGAAGAGGCACAATGGGAGTCGATGATTGTGTGCCTATTTACTACTCACTGGCAGAAATTCAATTGCGCGGTACTGACCGTCTGCACCGTACCCATGAGCACAAAAACGTCGACAGCGACAGGAAGAAGACGTAATGAAGGAGTCATCAGGTTGAACAACATCCTGAGAAATTTTGCTAGTCGGAATGCTGGACGGATCATCCTAATGGACATTGAACACGAGCTTAGAGCTATGGATCAAGCCAGCATCGAAGGACACGCCTGGTTGAACCGAGTCTTCCAGGAGCGACTGGATGAGATAGAAGTCGAGCTCTTTGACACTGGAGTACTAGAAAAGGGGGAAACCACAAACGAGCGGGCATATTCAACCTTTGTGCCCCCAAATCTACAGACACGTCTGGTAACGGTCCCAGCTGTGACCTACAAGCCGCAAAGCTCTAGCAAGCCAGGACAAAGGACAGATGTACAAGATCGATTGGGGGAAGCCCCATTAAGAAGAACCATCCATCCAAGACGAAGATTAGGACCTGTCAATCCGACCACGGAGACGACCAACACCTCGAGATCGGAGACAAGAACAGAGACGACGAGTACCATCCGAGAGGAACGACGTCCAGACAGGAGCTCTTTGATAGGGTCGAGGCCCATACCTTCTCCCTGGCATATATACAAACAGGATCTGATGAAATTAAACCTTCAGACGGTGAGCTTTGCAGCAGATGCCATGAGGATGCTGAATGGAGCGAGATTGTCCGTTAATGGACTGTATTCAAAAACAGGCGTTGTCTGGTTGATAGACGCTGGCATAAACTTCAGCTCTAAAACCGCCTTGAGATTTGCCGGAGGGACTGCCCTCAAACAATACAAAGGGTCCAGTTAATGCAAGACCATTGCAAGATGTGAAACTGAATCACGATGATAGAAATTGAGAAGAAAGACCCGGAAGATTCTTGACGACGAGGGCACCAATAGGACAACATGTAAAAGATTTTCAGGCAGGTAAAAGGAGCCCCAGGTCATCTAAAAGAAAGAGCGTACCGAAACAAGTGAATCAAGAAGATGATTTTCAGAGATACGGTAGATTTGAGGCGATCAAGAAAGATGAGACCATCTTTGCTGCGTATGACAAAGCAAAAATGAGGAAGGCAAAATTTATGATAGTCGCGGTCTCAGACTTCGTATATACCTCCAAGTCTCTGTTTTGGCATGATGTTATAATGTTGGCAGCGGTCGATCTGGACCTGATGCAGTCGGTGTCAATGGCAATCGGGGTACAACGACAGACGGAGATGAACCCAATCACAATCGTTTTTGCTGGCATGAACGACCATCTACACAGTAGGGGTTTCCTGCGCAGACTCAGAGAGCCTACGACAGCCGAAGGCGCTGTATGGCCAGCTATAAAAGATATCCTCGAATCAATGGGTGAAGTAGTGTACACCCTGAAAGAAGGTGCCTTCACCAAGATAACACCGAGAGCCGTAATTGCACTGTCTCCGGGAAATGCACGCCTCCCAAATGTACTGAAGTTTGTATACGCGTTGGTGACGTTGCTCTCGGAAGGTAAGTATGATGTAATCATATCTGCCCCAAATCCTGAAATAGAGATGAAGAACCTAAGACCACTTAGAGCGGAATTGCCTGTGGCGTGGTCTGACATCTCGAATGTGATGCGAGGGCTTGAGAACTATTCACTGCACGTGTTAGTGTTAGACGAAGTACTGGGGTTGGAACTGTCCAACTTCAGTCGACAACTCAAACTGAAGCCAGGAATTGACGATGACCATCGAGTAATCGTAGCGATGTCAAATAATTTATGGTTTCGAGAGATGGAAGTAAAGGAAGAAGGAGAGAGAAGAAAAAATTCCAAGGAAACGGGAACTCCTTTAGAAGCGATGGTATGAGAACGAAACCAGAGGCTAACCAGTGGCTACTTTTGACCCCTCGAATAGCAGCATTGGGCAGGAATGCTTTCGAGTGAGGCCCAGTGATGATCAGCAAAAACCATGCCTACCTAGTGAAAGAGGTAAACCTGGCCGGAAATGCTGAAGAGAAGTCAGCCGAGTTTGTAAACAGAGTGTGTCAAGTTACTCTGGAAGCTTCAAGGACACAGAAGGTGAAGGGAAAAGAAGGCTTTGACCAGACTGACAGCATGCTGAAAGGGTTAGGAGCCGGATGGACCGCGTCCTTCCTGGCGAAAATTTACCCCTCGCTTTCTTGATATCTGATAAAAGAATTCTTTGAAGCAGTCGTAGAGGTATCGATCGTCGAATTACTAGCCCTGTTCGTGACGTTTGGAGAAGAGAACTTCGTGATAGGACCAGCGATACTGCTCACCGAAGGAGTGCAGAATTTGCGACTAGATGGACTTCTAACGTTGGTCGCGACAACGCATGGAAACTTGGGAGGATTGATGAATTTGACACGCTATCCGGAGCAGATGAGGGAGAACGTGAGGAAGTTCGACATGAAGCAATCCACGGATTCCTGGAAGAAGATAAAAGATTTGCGACGCAATCTCATCCAGTACCTCCTGCAGCAGAATCGCTTTGGAACAGGAGAGGATAAAACGACTCAGAGGGAGGAAGACGTGCGACGTCATGCTGGGGGCATGCCCTTATTATCTGACCTGAACTTAGCTATGAGAACCGATCCCTTAGCATTGATCAGAGGAGCCACGGAGTTCGTGACAGTGATATACGGTCCAGCAGTCACTTTTGCGTTCCCTGACGTTAAGGTGGAGGCTTACCGGAGGTCCGTGTTGCACTTGAACCTCTTGTCAGCAGTGGACGGAAGTACACTTAACTGTATGAACAATACGCGTTACGAGAATAGATGAGTGAGAACAGGTTATTCGCAAAGATATCAGAGCCGGAGATGACCGTCATAAACTTTGATGATCACTTCCGAGACAAGATGGGGGAAGTGGACAGAGAGCATATTGAAGTATTCCTTAAGCTCTGGAATCTAAGACCCCATGACAAAACGAACGGCGAAATCACAAGAAATCCGCGACTGACTGCAGCGTACCATAAGTTGAGAGAAGAAACGAAGGGCTGAGGTGACTACAAAAAACTGCCGGAAGAGATCTCGGAATTCCCTTTGATTAGAAGGATGTTGCTCGGAGCAGACTCCGTAACACAAACACCTAGGTTGAGAGCCTTTGAGACCAATGAAGGCAGGGTAGCGAAGTTCTCTGAGACGATGGACCCGTGTATTGTGGGCAGAAAGGCCGCAGTGCTGCAGTATACGCAGTTTGCTTACACGGATGAAGCAACGAGGAGACGAATGAGCAATACAGCGACTCCGAAGCCTGGGAGGTCTGACGAGAATGGGCGAAACTGGATCTAGCGCCTATGATTATGAAAGGCAAGGTTGACTTACCAGAAGCCTCCCTAATCTTAACGAGTGTAAAACCAGAGTTAACGGTTGGAGGTACACTACAGATTAGAATCATGCTAGCATCCTTCGGCTATGAAGAAATCAAAGTAGTTCATGGAGAGGAGGAAGATCAGTCAGCTGGCAGACTAGTTGTACCGAAATTTCCAGATGGGGCAAGGGGTGATGAGCAAGGGCCCTAGAGTTCAGGAAAAAATCTCAGACGAGACGATGGGCAGGGAGGAAGCCGTCGATATGAAACACCTATGCAACAGGAGCCCGATAAAGCCGAGAAAGAAGACGATAAGGCTTCGACAGGAGGAATGTCCAGCCTGAACTTCAATTTCCTCAGCGATTTTGAAAACGTCACGGACACAATGGAAGCGACGACTGAGCCGGCGGACGAGGAAACTTCCACGCTAGAACCCCCGTCGGCCTTCATGGGAATGAACCGGAACTTGCCAGAGAGCAGCTTTCCGAGCAATTCTAAGAACACTGAACAGAAACTCTTGATTGAATCACCAAGGAGAAGAAGAATAGCAGGCACTGCTAGAGTACCTTTCGTGGGAACGTTGCCCGAAAAAGAGTGCGAAGTGCATCATAGAGACCATGAAAGTAGGACGGGTTGCAGAATGGCCAGAGTGGCATTCAGAGGTCTGGACAGTAGTTCAGAGCTACGGAACCCAGTCTGTTTTGAAAATAGGTCTCAGCCGACCACTAATGCGGGAAGTCCTTGACAAACTCGACGATTGTGAAGGGAGATTTAGCGAATTGCTGATTGACTTGGCCACTGATGAAAGTGAGGCAAACTCTCCTATAAAGATGACGCCGCAAGAAGACAAGAGAGAAGTGGTATAGCTGTCAAGAACCCGAAAGGTAACGATGCGATCAAAAATGGTGATTGACAGGGTTAATGAAATGAAGATGAAACTGGGCAGCAAGGTGACATTGAGGAAAGCGGGAAAGACAGAGGTGGATTCCGAACTCTCGATGAAAGCTGTCAACTCAGCTAAAAGAAAACGCGTCGAAGAAGCTATGGGCTTGTGACAGGGTGATGATCGATTGCCTGGCACAGACAGGATGTTGACTGATGTAGCGATGGTGCCACCCAATCTCATGACAGGAATAAAATCAACCGGTTACAAAACCAAGAAGAGTGATCGCACTCTGACTGGAGCATCGTTAGAAATGGAGATGCTCAGCCAATGTGGAGAAAGTACCTTTAAAGACTTCAAACG